TTTCATGTCCTAACTGCTCGACCTATTTCCGTGCCAAATGCGGGAATAGGAAACAATGCGATTTTAAGCTACCACACAGCAGATAAGACTCATTTTGATTTTGCGTGATGTTTAATACCGTCCCATTAGGTAAGACCGTAAGTGTATTGTTCCAGACGAATGAAAGCCTGGAAATAGCGGCTGAGCAAATATTGAGTACAAAAATAACTCCAGTAAGAACAGGCATAGCATAATGTTTGACCCAAGGGATCTCCAGCCAACTCCACTGCAAGCCAAATCCACAACGCCGGGTGTTACACTAACAAACACGGTAGGCAATCACCTTGATACTACTCCAGATCGCTCAGCCGTGTGCGAACTCTTCTCTTCTAGCCCACTTACAGCTCCAAATGTAAATCGCTTCTTGATAAATATCAGATCGTGGGAATTTCCAAACTTAACACTTGCGGAGGGTAACTTGTGTTTAAATATATGTACATGTCTAGGAACACAACCAGTTCTTATCACTGATGCCCAGAAGGTATCAAAATATTAGCAATGTTATGGATTGCCATGTGAAGATGGATATTTACGGATTTTTCGTTATCCGGTCTTCTCGGTTTACAGTCAGTGTACTCGAGATCATTGAGGTAAGTAAAGTGAAGGTGAAATGGATAATACCAGCCCTCAGTTAGATTACGAGCTCAAGCCACTGTCGTCAACTTGTTATGCCGCTCCTAAAATACTGTCTTGTGCGGTTTCCCAGGCGCGGAGTAGCTGAACGGAATTCGGATCAATTGCGGTCCCACGAATTTCGTTGACATAACTAGCGAGGAAGAAGACCGCACAAAGGATAATTCCACACACGCGCGACGAAAAACTGAACATCACGACGTATCGGAGACCAGAGAGAAAATGGGCCTTCAGCATGAGCGCTTTCTTTGACTCGGTCTAGTGGCGTAGTAAGGAAGGAGCGGTCCGTTACAGGCGGCATGTGATAGGGGGAGTCAATTTTAGTGAAGTTCATTGTCCGATACCAAAAGGGCAACATTTCCAGATAGTTCGATAGCAGAATGCTGCAATATTGCTCTAGATAACCAAAAACACATTTGCATCAACTGTCACACTAGCCTGCCGTCTTCTCCTTCTCGCTTTCGCACACAGCTATCCCGTTAAACGGCCCCCACGGTTGCAGTCGCCCGTGAACGTAACGCATTGTCGCCCATAGGGCGTTGCACAGCGGCCACATCATTTCCAAGGGTTGTATGGCACATATAAGCACCTGCGCGACCTCGCCTGCCGACTGGCTTTTGTGAACTATGCGTAGTCGCACATACTGGCATTGCTTGCACACCTGCTTTAGTGGGGACGTTTGAGTTCCCGATGGCAGTAGTGCGGCTCTCTGATCAGCACAGCCATTTGTTGTCAGCTTCTCACTAGACTACATCCGTCGGGGCGCACTCCTCTCTGTAAAATGAGCATCTTGTTGCGTAAACTTGTTCAATTTCTGTTCGCATATCCATGAATAGGATGAGATGCTCCGGAGCTTCATGTAAGGCACAAACAGTGGTTGAGATGACGTTTTGCAGGGGCATGCATAGAGAATAATGGAGCAATAATTTATAACGGGTAAAAAGTCAAAGGCCTGACAAGTCCCGTATGATGGTTAGGGTGAAAATTACAAGATAGAAACTTTGTTAAAAGAAGGCGTAATATATATGGCTCACCAAAAGGTTCGTAGTAGCACGAGTGTGAGTATTCCTGCCTGGAGTTCAAGGGTCTCTAATTGTCCGGGAGAAAGTAAGAATTGCCTTGGAAATTCCCTATTTTAGCGATTAATCGATTATTAACGATTACCGCATCGATTTCGAACGTTCCTGAATGTTCTTCTTCTACACGTGATCAAAATCCACCTGACCTCTCGGCAAAAGATATGGGGAACCACTAACCTTGGCAGCTGACCTTCCAATTCTAGAAGTCGAAGGTCAGTAGAGACCTATAAATACAGCCAAGGTCCGCAGTTGTTGTACAGTGTTCGTTGGCGGCGATTAATACGTTCTTTTGTCAAGGTCATTGGCGTTTTGCTTTTTTCCTTCGGTTGGGCTGGGAGTTTTGTGGAGCAGTCAATTGTTATTTTTTGGAATTGCGTCTAGTGAGAAGATTATAACACTAATATAGTACACTGGTCTGCACTTATGTCGTCATCTGATGGTCATGGACCATATCACATAGTGTAGATGTGTCAGTGTATCGTCAAGGCGCTTTATAAATGGTGATAAGATGAGACCATTAAGTACATGCGACGGAAGAGAGTTCCAGGCCTGTGACATTAGGGGAGAGAATAGGTTTCGTCCCCATTCCAGTCGGCTGTACCGTGTGGTCAACATAAATTGATGAGCCCTCAGTGATGTGTTTTGGTTGAGTTTAAAAAGATAGTGGCAAATGTGGTTGGGGTTCTTGTGATGTAATACCCCATTATGAGATTGTCCTGTAAATTCCGATGACGTCTGCTGTACAATTTCAGAGTTTTCAGCCTGTTGGTAAGGAAGTGAGACAAAACTTTGAGGTTCTTCGTCGCCTTGCGGTGTGTAGTATCCAGCGCTGTGAGGTGGTGATTCCGCCAGAGTTGCCACGCTTGGATAGGGTATTCCACGTGCGGCCTCACGTAGGTGTCAATAGTTTTCGGAAAGACGGAGGCGGTGAACATTCCGAAAGTCCTACGTAGGAGGCTGAAGTGCTGATTTGCTTTCTTTGATGCCTTTTCGTTCTGACGAAAACAACCAAGATGCTCTTGCATGAGCACGCCAAGTTCGTGTTCATGTGAAGCCCGGTGCAGAATTTGTGATCCTAGACGGTAGTTGTGAGTACTATGATGGCGTATGCTCAGAATTTTGCACTTAGTGGCGTTGAACTGGGGCAATGTTATGCAATAAAAAAGGAATGGGCCTATTTCCCGACGAGCTGGATATGTTCCCTTTTGTGGAACGATCATTTGTAAAGCGAGTTCAAACTCAATGTGAAAGGATTATGCAATATTTTGTTGCGTATGTAACACTATTTGATAGTTAGTATTGTCATATGTTGTTCGGGCCCGATTCCATGAGCGCGCTCGTAGATTGCTGGAGGTCAAAAATTTGGACCACATTTGGTATGGAAAGAAAAGTTTTTACATTAATTTTAAAAATGGACAGGCTTTCGTAGGTCATTAACTGCAACGGTAGTTTATTCCACAGATTGGCGTATTTCACTACGAAGAATTTTAAACGGATATTTTTCTTGGTCCTGTGTAAGGATAGTAGAAATGTTCCATTACGAGTGGGATACGTTGAGCTATTAGGTAATGTGACGGTCGTACCGATTGGACAAACTCGCGAGGATATTATGCTGTAGAGAAGAGTGAAATTGATTTTCAGATGTCGAACTCAGGGTGGATCGAGCTGGAGGTCAGAACATTGCTCCTCATAGGTAAGCGATGATGAGCATCCTATGAGCACTTTGGTAAATGAGCGGCGGACGTTTTCCAAAGCAATTCTATCTACTTTACGTAAGTGGCTATGGATGCAGGTGCAATACTGTAGAGTGGGTCGCACAATAACGTGGAATGATTCAAGTCGAATTTGGGATAGTGAAACGGTCCGTGATGTAGCCTGTTAGTTGATTCGCTTTCGTTACTTGGTGTAGGATGTGTTAGGATAAGCGGAAGCTGCTCGAACATCGAATTCCCAGACCCCGAACGGAATACGCAGTTGTGAAGGGGGTGTCAGTGAGTGATGGATTCTTCTGGTATACTACATCTGTGACAGAGTGTCTGAGATTTATCTGCAGAAAACCTCAGTGTCCTGCTTTCGCTCCATTTGAAGTGCCACAGATACTGTGGCACGCTTCTGCTGTTGTTCCTTGCCGAAGTACAAAACCTGGATCAGTCAGTCAGTATGCGTTGAATTGTGTCTGTACTTCCGAGAGTTCAGTCGCAGAACGTCCGTTCGATTTCGGCAAACGTCCTACGCAAACGTACACAGTTGCCCACGCTACAGCACAATGACGTCGAGCCGCATGGATGCAACCACCTAATTTGTTAGCGATACAAAGGAAAGTGGAATTTCAAACGGTCTCGTTGTTCGTCTGCCGCAAAAACGTCAAATCACTCTACTCTCAAGCTCGTCGCACCGTCTGCTATTTTATAGTACACTACTAGAAACCAGATAATTTAAATTATGATGCCATGTTAAGACGAGAACAAGAGACTTGAAAAAGAAGGTAAACAAAGTAGAAGAGAAGAAAACTGGCGGCGATCTGGTAATACTTTCTGACTGATCATTCCGAGAGAGCGCTTCTGTTTTTCGGCACGTATATCTGGCCTTTGAACTCGGAGTCTGGTCAACGAAGCAATGGATAAGTGAAGGAACAAATAGGGAGGGAGAGGGCGTGGCCTGAGGTTAATAATTAAATTGCCTGACAAACAAGGCAATAGAGTGTGGTTGAGCAGTCCCATTGGCATCCGCTTGGGGCCAGTCACACACACAGTCGTGAACGATTCAGAACCTCTAATGTATTTTCCGGTGGTAAAAGAGCATGAACCACAAGCCGTGAGCAAGCAGCAGAAGTTCACGAGTTGGTACCCAACTAATCGGATGCTGGTTTGCTTTACGTGAGCGGTTGTAAACCAATGCGCAACAGGTGCGTTAAACACCGCCGGAAACAACTCGTTACCCAAGAGTTGTGACACCCTATCTATAGTCTCCCAAGACTATGTTTGAGAGGAAGGACAACCAATTGCTCCACAGCCTTATGCGAGGAAAGCGCAGAGACTGATTTCGTCTGAGCTCAAATCATTGACTTATCCGGTGTAAGGGGTTATGGAGGCACTTTTGAAGCGACGTTCAGTGTAAAACAATGCAGCACACAGTTCCATACCAAGTGCGTAAACGGATGAATCAAGACGCTTACTGAACTTGGATGAATTGGTGAAAAGGACATGAGCGACTGTAGGGAGGTGTGGCGTAAGTTGTTGTGACAAAACGTTGGAAAGAAATATTGGCTATATTTAAAAGTGAAAATACGATTAAGATACGGAACAGTTTGAAGACAGTGAAAGTGAGCTCAGGTTTCTCATCTGAAAAAAGCAGGGTATCAGAAAGCAAAGATAGTAGGTTTTCTGTCTGTATTACGAAATGGAAAAGTCAAGTGAACTTTTTGGCCGATTCGATCGACTGCGGAAGCTGATGAATACCAGGTCTAGGGGTAGCGCCAATGAACTCCCAACGGTCCTGTTCCGCGACAACAACGGAAGTTTCGCGGGGAGATGCGCTGGTTCTGCGAACGGGTGAAAGCACTCGTGACGAGGTGCTCCAATCGGAAGTGCTTCCTTCTGTGAGTGATGACTCTTCAATTTCATTAACTTCCTTGCCCTGTTCGACTTGTTGCAGCTGACATCCGATAAGGCGTTGCAGCTCATCTGAATTCAAGAGTGGAGGTTGGACGACACCGAAAAATCCGTCCAGAGAATGATGGTAAGGTGCGTCAAATTCCCTAAAGTTGAAAGAAATTGCTAATTATAAGGGCAGGCGCAAGCTAGCTGAAGGCCGTCGGTCCCATAGGAGAGATGTAATACAACAATCAGGTGGTACCAGAAAAGAAAATAAGTAATAATACGCATTGATTTTTAATCCAACATCACAACTGAGGTATTGATTGGACAAATAAACTCATAACGCTAATGACAACGAGGTCGCTTCGTTTTCTTGTCGACAATTGTACCCAACTAAATGTGACCGTCTTTCGGATCCCTACGCCGGAAGTCAGACACCAACCGACACCAAGTTCAAAGTGAGGGTTTTCATTCCGCTTGAAGTCATCCGTTGGCTTCCTATCCTCTTCTTTCCTCCATACCCCGGTCGCACAAACAGTGCACGCCGGGGGAGTAGGTGTGTTGGTACACGTACCACGCGACCCAGCAATCGAGTCTGTTACGTAAACTATTAGTGCTTAGCGGTTCACCTGCTCTACTTGCGGCAACAAGGGGGTGAACGCGCTCGTCGCTCACATGGTGATCCCACCTGATAAGAGTTCAGTTGCGAAGGTAACGAAGATCGAATGTAGCTAGCCTCTTTGTGTCAGGTTTCGCAACCGTACGAGAGGGTTAAGCAGACCGCGAGGATTGGCAAAAGCATCTAAAGCTTTCACTATGCAGTGCTTGACCTCGTCTTCTATTCCACTGGCGCTAACGCAGCTACCTAATGCAGCTGAATTTCCCGATGACTCGTAGTTGATCAGAGTCAGCGTAGGAGTTGGTCCCTTCTAATCATGAAGTTTTGCATTTGGAGGCTGTAAAGCACAGTCCGAGACGATTGTTACCCAGTGCTAATGAGTCAAACACAGTTTGGCAGGTTTGTACGTCTCACAGATTACGTGATATCGTCGGCATGTTCCGAACGGAATGGAGCTAAACCGTTCAGAAGGCATTGGACAGTGAAGCAACGTGGTTCCACCGATTCTCGGACAGGTTGTTGAACAAACATGGACTAATATGAGATGTAAATGGTGTTTGTTATACCAACCAGGCCAATGGATGGAGAATTAGGGGTGGCGTGCATCTTTACACACCAGGTTGGTTTAAGAACACGTGGTGAAAATCATAAATCTAGCATAAGTACAAACTGTTATGAGGCAGGGCCACAGGTTCCTAGGATGGACAAATGCTTTGGTATTCAAGAAACAAAGAAACTCGGAATCCCACACATGCGAAAAGTCGGGCGACAGGGTTACTTAGTCACACAGCTTGCGCTTTATCGAATGTCTTTTGCACACAGACAACGCCAAAAGTTCGGTTCAAGCAAGAATCAGCTGTATCTGAGGGCATAAACCAAGCATACCGGTAGTATTTAGGTACGCGGTTGGTGCGCGCCGATGCACTTCCAAGACAGTTCGGTGGTCCAGACTTTTGTGTCAAAAGCCAGAAATCGTAACCATCGAACAAAGTCCAGCGTCGAATAAATAGTAGGCGAGCAACATCTACTCCAAAAATAACCTGTCGATGTTGGTGCTTCTATTATGCAAGTTACCTTCATTCCTAACCGTCCTCTACCAAAAGGAGCTAGCAAAAATACAATTCTGAATTCGTCGACCATTAATAATCAAAACAAGCCATTTCGATCAACGGGACTGTGACCGACGTAAAGGATTTCAATGTAGCTCTCTTCCATCACTGCACATGGACTTCAGCCTGGAACACCAATTCTATAGCCAGTGACTTCACTTCCTGCTGACAAGTCAAATTGCGTCCCCCTTCAGTCTTGCACCAACATCTGGCAAACAAAACAAGGCCTTAATTGGTATGTGATGGCCGGACATACGCAGTACTTGCCCAAGGCAATGCAACTTATTCAGTGCTATCTGTTGTTCTAAGGAACTAGCTTGGTTATCATTGCCTAGTACCCGCCTACTCACATCATCGTTCCGGACACGCTGGTGCCATCCGACATCAGCAATGCTCTGCAGATAGCGATGATCAAAGACTTAAAGGCGCCTCAAATCTCCAGACCGATGGGGCCAAATCTCACTCCCATAGTGTAGGACGGTCCTCACTGTGGTCTTGTAAACACGGCCTTTCAGACGGAGGGAAACACTTTTCAGTTCTAAATGCTGCAACACGTAAACTGACTTCAGTTGCTGTGCGCCCATATTTGCTGATGCAGCTGCCAAGGTAAGTGGACTGATCAATTACCTCGAGTTCCTCGTCATCAAGTGGCTGGCGGTCCTGCGACAACATTGCAGTTTGAAGATGCGAAGCGCATGCCAATGATGGAACCACTTTGAAATAAATGAGAATATCTGTAGAAAGTTTATTCAGGGTTGATTGGGGCCTCCCCAACGTAGCCAAAAAGGAGGACAACATGGTCCGCATAATCAAGATCAACTAGTTTTTCATCAGACAGGTCCTCAATGACAGCATCGTGAGGCTCCGCAAGGAAAGACCCCAAGAAGGAGTCCACGAAGAAGTTAAACAAAAAAAGGGAATTGGACAAAAATGACAAACGTCACTTGTTGTAGCAAAGGCATCACATAAATCACCGTAGACCCTGACGCGGCCTGTAGTGTTCGAGTACAGCGCACGTAAAAGGTTCACATATTTCATGAGAACACGTTTCCGCATAAGTATTTCGAACCAAATGCACCGGTCAACTGAGTCGAACGCACTCTTAAATCGAGAAACACAGCTATTGTCGGTCTGCGGTATGCGTGGCGTTGCTCTAGCACCCGCCGCAAAGTGAATATGTGGTCTATAAAACCGCGTTCCGGGTGGAAGCTTGCATGCTCCCCCCTATCCCGAGATTTACATTCCGCGGTGAGGCAACAAACGAGAATTGAGGCCAGTAACTTTGTCACAAATTGCGTTAGGCTAATACCTCCGAGGATAGCACAGTCGGTGCGACTGCTCTTCTTTTATATTTCCATGGTAATCGATTCACTCCAGTTAGCTGCAGTCGCGTTTCGGACCTCAGCCTCAGATAGAGCCTGTAAACTACCCGTCCATGGCTTAATCTGCACCATCTGAGCAGGAAGCGGAGCGGAGGCAGGAGGTCAGCTGAATGGCCATCGAAAATGCTCCGCTCAACGAGCCGTACGGTGCTCCTTATCGTGAGTTAGGGCACCCGAGGTGTCTCCCCTTACCCCACTGACGCCTGGTTTTCTGGGATCAGTGGAGCAAATCAGCTGGAAGAGCTTACGAGAATTGCCTACTGCTCCCGCATCCTCTATTTCTTGAGCCCGACTGGTCCACCAGGCATCCATGTCACCACGTAGGCTGCGCTTTAGTTCACACCTAACAGAGGAGGTTTCGTCCGGATCCCCACAGGTTCACCAACTTCTCGGATATCCAGTGACTGATGCGTGTCGATGGATAGTGGCACAAGCAGATGCTCGTGCGTCGTGCATGGCTGCTGAGATCCATTTCCACTGAAGCTAGTGTCAGTAGGACAAGGGAGCAAAAGTTCGGTACGCAGTGGATCCTGGTAGGATTGCCTGATCGAGGACTGAGATAACTTATCAGTTGCCAATCGGGGGAGACGCTTGGTGCGCCTCCCGGTAAAGTTCATGTAAAAACGACAGCGCACCAAGGCACGATCGGAGTCCATGTCGGGATCCCAGTATGAGCGACAATCCAGGTTGGGAACACGTTACCTGTAACTTACGGTAACGTGATCTATTTGAGTCCATCGCTGGCTAGCTACAGGAGGACGCTAAGTTGCACTTCGGCGCCCACTGTATCTAAAAGCGGTGCTACTAAGGAATAACTGGTGCTTCGTGCACAGTTGCTATAGACGCTCGCCGTTGTCCCTCTGATCGGAGTTAAGTCCATACTTACGATCTAGCTGAGCTTCTGAAGAGCTCAGACGACCTATTTGCGCATTAATATCACCTGCAACAAGTACGATAGTTGCACTGGTACTACTGCGATGAAGCGTGTTTGTCGGAGGTGTCTTTTGTCCACTCACAGCTCCGACTATTTCTACCTGATGTGCCTAAACGTGGACGAAACCGTGGAGTGCAGTGATGGGAGAGCGCAACACCGATTGAGATTGTTCAGGAAAGTTAAGTTGGAAAAATACCGGATTCCAAGCTCCTCGGTAGACTGCTGTATGGACGTACTTTTAGTGTTGAGTTTGTAAGACCCTTTGGGGATCGGTCGACCATAGGACATAATGCTTCACTTGTTTGATGAGCATTTTGTTAACCACGTGTAGATCATTTTGAATCAGCAGCAGTGTGTTTTGAAGCGCATCACACTGGAGCTAATAGACAATCTTTATGCCATGTGATGCACTTTCAAGGTGCAGCATGTTGGATCGTTACCCCCACGATTTGAATAATTCATGAAGTGGTAGATTGCGTTACCTAGTAGGCTCGTTTGTCGCATCTCCGAAGGAGCAACTGACCGCATCATGAGAGCGTGTATTGTCTCCAATCGTTGACCTAACCAAAAGATGATGCAGCTGTTTATGTCACCTTTCTTACTGGAGGTTGCCCGTTTGCGTTTTTCCAGCCTTGTCGGCGAAACGGTTAGTGTTTTGTCGGAGCGAGGAGAAATAGGGAACTGAATACGCTGTGTTTCAATGAGCTGGCCATAGTTGGGTTAATGAACTTTAGTGAGCCGTAACCTCTACGGGGTACGAAGTCACTTAACAGCAGCGACGGAAACGTTTCGCTTGAAAGACGTCACTCTTTACGAGTTTGCTGATGTGGATGCATATAACAGCAAGCACACAATAAATTTTAGAGGCTTCTGTATTAGAAGAGAGGAGGCTTGTCCGGAATTATTTCCACTGATGGCATAACCAACCGGACACAAGAATACGGTGGAGATATTACACCAATTGGGACAAACTTCAGCAAGTGCCTGTCTATCAGGCTGTAAAAAAGTTTAAAAAAGACGAATATTACCTTTGTGCTTCAGATGCTGCCAAACAGTAAAGACCGGCCAAAGGGTTGTATTCCGAGTGGTTTGGATGCAATGGAAATCCTAAACGGCCCACGGCCTCCCTCACACAGATTCGGCGACTGGCACAAAGCATATGTACAGAATGGAGCACTGCTGAATACACGCGGCCCAGGTTGTCTCTTTGAGGGAGACCGGCTAGAAAGGATCCAGAAAGACAAAGGTGCTGCATAACGGTCGGTGGAAGCCATACGTCCGCAAATATGGCTGCTGCGAGAATAGCCGGGACACAGTATGTCAATGCGGTGTGACTGGACAACCTAGGCTCCGGACCTGAGGTGAGGAAGTTTTAAAACGATAAAATTGTTAGAATGAAATCGTCATCATCATCAACAAAGGTTTATCAGCCATCCGTACCTATGATTTACTGCCACAGAACCACCGTGACCTACGGAATTTGGAATAATAAGAGGGAGAGAAGGTGAACCTAGTGTAAAACTTAACTGCCTTCAGCAAACATTCAGGGTCAAGGTGCCTAGACCTTGTCAACAACACACCGTCACAAACACCTGGCTATCCTGCAAAGATAAGGTGGCATCGGCGAGACAGCTTCCTTGGGGCTTTCACTGACACACGTCATAACCAGTCATTACCCTGCAGATAACACAGCATTAAACACATTTTAAACTAGCAGTCTGACTACGAGGCGACAGCAGATGCGCCACTTCTACCGACTGCGAGCCGTGTCCTGTAACGTCTCAAACCAAGAACAAGGCTGGTCATGTGGACTCCAGCCTGGAAGGCGAGACAGATCAACAGCACACAATAATACACGTTAACTAAGGGTGGAAAACACCTCAACTATTGTGCTGCAATACAAAAGAAAAATAAATGCAACAGAGGCACGCCGGCTGAGTCACCAGTAACGCATGGACATCGTTCCGGATAGTAACAGCCGGCTATTATGCCGCAAACAGAGTTATGTTATGCTTAACAGGTGAGATTGTGGTTGGTGGAGGAGGCTAAGCGGGAGGAGAGGGACAAAGAAACTCACAACCAGCAAAGAGTCCGTTTTAGGAATAAGGTGCCACCCTCATTCCAACACCCAACCTGGAGGCTGAGTTTGTCTGGCTTCTAACCATTGACCAATCTGGTATGAATGACTTTGAAGGTGCAAAGGCACCACCCAGCATAGCTCAATGAATCGTTGAGGCACACAAACCATCGTACCACGGTAAGGTTCAGCCTCATTGCTATGGGTTCAGTCCATCCATGAGCTCATTCATAGTTTGTGTGCGTACGCAGTTTCCGAGCGACCTGATTTGTTAATACGGATCTATGCTAGGGTGGCAAATTATTGAGTATGTTTTCAGTTCAGTGGTAAGACGTGAAGCAGAGGTTACCAGCGCTTAGCCGCTTACAGTACTCAAAAAAGTGCAGTTTGAAATTTAGAAGACAGTGCTCAACGATTTTCCCTCGTGTGACCACGTTGGACCATGCATCCGAAGAGAAATTGCCCTGGAATATCCGTGGCAAGTGAACAATCCCGACAATCAATTGACTAGCGATTATCCTTATGTTGACAGTTCATTTTAGTGATAAGAGTGAGCATAGCTATATCTCCCGTTGTTCATCAGCTATACTGAAGTTACCTATGCTTAGGAAAACGCAGGTACAATGCGGAGTGAAAGTGAAAGCGTAGAGGGGCCTACTAAAAGTTGAACTGCACATGGCCAAACTTCAGTGTCTTAGTATGTTACATCGGAAAGGAATCAGCGCATAGCGTCAATTGGTTGTTTTAAGAGCACCGAATGGCTGCACCCGAGAGGTACGATGCAGATCGTTAACAAATGGCTTATAGCCATAGCAGAGTACACAGCGGTATGTAAAAACGGTTGAGTAATTGGATCACAGTCATGCTACAACTTGGACACTGTAAAACAGTGCGAACACTATTTTGAAAGACGCACGTTTGACACTGGGCAGCGGGACTTAGTTTATGTAGTACTGCGGTTGTTGTCGCACCAAAGACGCCACCTGTCAATGTGTAAGGTTGCGCAATATACGTTCGTTGATAATCCGCACGAACCCCAGGCAGCAGATGATCGGACCGGTCCAGTCTTAAGCGGCGGTCGATGACACGGAGAGCCTGAGGTGAACACTCCATCGCATTTGCACGCTGGGCGATCACCAACATATCTGCGAACCCGACTTTATATATAGGAAGAAGCACCTCAATGCACACCATTTTACTGCATTTCTTGTTTATTTATCATTCCACTTGGTAACCGTACTGATGGCAGGTGGTTCCCTATCACTATATCGGTTTCGTTCAAATATTGCTGCCAAAGATTTGAGGCTGTCATTTAGGTTCACATCTAAATGTTAAAGAAAACACCGACACTTCGTATGGGGCGCTTATTCTCATGCTTGCGAAAATGGCTGTTAGCTTCACCTACAAACGAAACCCATACAAGTGTGTAGTACTATTGTTCATGTGGTTCACTGTGTCTCTATGCAGTTTTGTGGCAGCGCATACTTAAGTCTGGACAAACGCATGTGCATCTGTGTGATTTGAACTGTCGGTGGACATGGATGCTGCCAATCCATTTACATATGTATACCGACTGAATTCGATGAGGATACCCATACAACTTTTGTATAGTCAACTTAGTGCAAGAAAACGGCACGCATACAAACGGTGATTACGTTATCAGGACATGAACAAGGTAAGTTTATCACGATTTCAGGTGTTAGGAATCAAAGGCAGAGTTGATAGGTGCGAATGTATGTAATCTCAGCAGTCTAGCAAACAGACACAGAGCCAATAAAAAAACCACGGAAATTGGCGGATAAGGGGAAGTCATCGCGTCATAATCATCGTGGCATCGTGGAAGTTGAGCAACACACTTCAGCTAATATAACGCAGGAAGAAATGAACATTTTGACAGAAAGTAGAACAAAACATTTTTAGTTTGTTTTTCATATGCCAATTTTTCTCTTTTTTGTTATTTTCAATATTTGAAGTATTAAACATGTGAAACAATACAATTCCGTACACAATTCTTCCACTGATTCCGGTTGCGGGCCATGTCTTCAAGAGTGTTAAGCCACTGGTACTCCTCATCTTCGGGCCAAGGCCCTGGAAGAGGTACGGATCCAACAGCGGCTAGACACGACGTCAGCGATTTCATGTGCTGCCGCCAAGTGGAAGGCTGACTACCACACGGTCGCATCCAGCCAGGTCCTTGACGAGCGAATAGAGGGCTACGCGGCAGACGCTTAGATGCCATGCGTAGGACGTGACCGAGCCATCTCAACGGGCGCAACAAAACCAGTTTGTTGAAGGGAATACTCGCATTCTCCAAGATGCGACGTCGAACGTCATTACTGTTAACTCGATATTGCCACCAAACACGAGCAATCCTCCTTAAGCAATCGTTATCGAGGGCAGAAAGACGACGCATGTCTTCCACGCGAATCGGGCAGGACTCGCTCCCATACAACAACACTGAGCGACCGGATGCGCTGTAAACGTCGCATTTTAGCGAGAATGAGACGTCGCGACGACGCCACAAGTGCCTCAGATTGACAAATGATGATCGAGCTTTAGCGATACGAAGCGAAACTTCTTTGTTGATTGTGCCGTCAGCAGAAACACAGCTCCCAAGGTAGACGAAACTATCTACCTGTTCAAGTTGTGCACCATCGAGAGTGAGCACGGGAGCAGGTGAAAGCCAACCCTCGAACAGTACTTTACACTTTGATGGGGCGAAATTCATGCCATACTTAGACGCTTCAACCGCCAAACGATCCAGAATGAGTTGTATACCCTGAGGATCGTCACCAAGACGGTATCATTAGCATAATCTAAGTCGGTTGTGCGTTCACCCGGTAGAAGCCCTAGACCAATGTTGGAAACCTTCTAGAGCATTCGACAGAACGTCTTCGATTGCGAAGTTGAAGAGAAATGGGGACATAGAGCAGCCCTGACGCACACCGCTATTGACAGCGAATTGCGAAGAAAGCTCGCCATAGACCCTCACTCTGCCGGATGTATGAAGGTAAAGTGCTCGTAAGATGGCGGTATATTTCTCTGGCACCCAGTTATTAAGCAAGCAATGCCATAAGATAGGTCGATCAAAGGAGTCAAAAGCGGCACATATGTCTAGGAGTGAAACGATAGTGGGCCTGTGAGAAATGTGGCGATGTTCGAGGAGCTGGCGGAGCGTGAAGATTATATCCACGCATCCGCGGACGGGACGGAAACCAGCTTGCTCTTCACGGTAGGATGATTCACGTATTGGGGACAGTCTACGGAGCAGAATGGGTGCCAATAGCTTGGAGGCAGCCGAAATAAGACTAATCCCGCGATGATCTACACATGAAGTGCGAGCGCCTTCAAAGATGGACTTGGAGAATCCGCTGTGTGATTGGGCTGCTACAAACCAAACCAGGACGAAACCGCGGTCGTCGCAGAGGATAATAAACGGCGCCCTTTCTGCTGGATCGAGCAGGGTGGACAGGGGTATGGATGCTACTGCTCAGGCCTTCCCGTCTTCTTATACCCCTTCTTGCGCTTCTTTATCCTTATCGTCCCGCTCCAACTTTACTTATATTCCCCCATTTTCAATCCCCCAATTCTTGGCCCTCCCCCAGCTTACTTCAATAGTCGCTTGTCTTCTAATTTCAAATCACACACAATCGCAGGGCCTCGCTTCAATCCAGTTGACAAGTCCATGTTCAACCAAGCGGACAACGTCAGTTCATCCGTTACCCTTTGGTGTCCTCGCGTCTCGCTAAGACTTGCATGCCTCAACGTGCGCACTTTGCTGCAGATTGGCCAACAGGCAGCACTTGCCCGCACACTAGAGACCCTATCGATCGATATTTGCTGTTTATCAGAAACCCGCCTGCAAGGTTCGAGCTCCGCGGTTACCCTGCTATCCCGCACATGCGACACTGGCGGCACATTCTCATTGCGCCTGTCTAGCGATGATGCAGCTTCAAATGCCGGTCGAGCTGGCGTCGGCATTGTTTTGAGTCCCCGGGCTGAAGCTGCCCTGATTGATTGGATCCCAGTAAACAGTAGGATGTGCGCCGTTAGATTAGCTGGTTCGTTCCGTGCTGCGAAGTCGCGCGGGGACAAACGTTGCCTGTTTGTTATTGCGGCCTACACCCCTACAAACTGTAGCACTGATTCGGTGAAAGATGATTTCTATCAGCAACTTCACGAGCTCCTTCGTCACAGAAGAAGCACGGATACTGTGGTGTTGGCTGGCGATCTAAACGCCCAAGTCAGCAAATTGTCCTCTGATGAGCTTCATCTGCGC